AGTGAGCTCCCCATTCTGCAGTGTACTGCAGTTGTGCATAGGGCCTTCTCTACTGGATCCGTGCAGGGGAAGAGCCTGTACAATCCTTGTGTGATTTAAGGTAGTGTCAACAGTAAGTAAAGCAGGGCAAATCAGAGCTGCGATGCTTCTCACCCAGGAGGCAAACGGGCAAAAGCTGCAGTCCTGCTGATGCGTGAGGAGGGACTGGGGTGCCCGCCCGCGCTGCTGGCGATCTGAGCACTTCCATTAGGCCGCCTTGCCTGGGGCCTCTCCTCATTTTTGGCTCATCATTGGTCATTTTGGCCTGAAAAGCTTCTGCTTGGGCTGATCGCGTTGGCCCCCGGGCGCTGCCTGTGCGGGTCCTCCTGCACAGCAGCGAGCTGCCCGGCATGGCTCAGTCCCAGCCGCGCGCGAGGAGGAGTCCTTGCTCCCCGCTTGAGCCCTGCCTGGAGGAGGGTAGTGCTACGGCTCCCGCGGGCGGCCACGGGCACGTGGGGAGCCTGCAGAAACAGCCCCCTCAGCCCGTGTTGCTTCTGCAGGTTTGCAGCTGGCTTGCAGTGTTCTCTTTGGAGGTGCATTAAGCGCTTAAACTGCTGCTGTTAACCCAGGCAGAGAGACAAAGCCTGTCCCTGAGCCCTCGTGATGCTGTCACAGGGGAGCCCCCATTCCCAAGGGCCAGGGGAGGGGGGCACCCAAGGCTTCCTTTGCTGTTGGCGCTGTTATTTCGGCTGAAGGCCTGGTGAGGATGGCTTGTTCTGCAAGAGCAGTGTCCAAAGCAACCAGCTCCGCATTGTAATTACCCAAAGCCATGTCATGTAATAACAGATCCTGAAATATAAATAGCTTTGACTGGAACGCAGGAAGTTTAGATGGAGCAAAGTGCCTTTGAGGTGTATTGCCATCCCGGAATGGAGGCTGCAGCATTTATTAATCACCTAGCTCATGTTTAAAGCTATGTAACAGTAGTTGCAGAAAAACTTTGTAACCCCTCCTCAGCACTGTAGTGCAACGTTCTTTTTCCGAGGTATTTTTCTGGAGTGTAGGACAGAGTATTATTCATAGGTATGAAGGAGGTGTAGTTCTACTACTGCATGAGGAAAGTCATGAGAATATAAAGCTACTGAAGTGGGTGTCTTTTGTCCTGAATACCTGGGCTACTGGTCTGAATTTTTTGCCATAATGGAGTTTTCTAAGTTTAATTAGATTCCAAATGCCAAATTGTGAACATTAATTGATTTCCTCTTTCCTTCATTCCTTTCCAGTGGTTTGTGGAACCATGTATGATGAAGAAGGTCCTGCTGCTGTCACTAAAAGCTTTCAGAAAGTCATGGGCAGCTTCTCTGGACAACAAGCAAACGCACCCACTCTGCTTGATTATTGACTCCCTAGAGTAGTGGAGTGATGAGACTTTCCTTGGAGCAATTTCTCCTTAAAATGTGCAAAAGCAAGTGCTTTAAGCAGGCATGTAGATTCAGGTGCCTCCCTTCAGAGGGAGGCAAAGACAGTAATGCTGGTCAAGCCAAGGATCCAGGTTAAAATTTTCCTGAGAAACAGATTACACTCAGACTAAGGGGTATTCCCTCGTCCTTCAGGAGTGCTCGTGTTTCCTCTGCAGCAGTAAGTTTTGAGGGGGTTGCTTGTTTTTTTTTTCCTTTTAAAGCAGGTTCCCTTGTAGCAGTTTAGCAATGATGTATTTACCCTTTTCATATTAAAAGATACCATTGACAGATCAGCAGAGAATACATAAGACCTTTTCTGTATAAGTTTGCATTGTTGATCTAGCAGCCTACTGCACAATGATAGCAGGGACACACTTCTTTCGGCAGCTGTAGAAAACTGTTTGAAGCTGACCCTTTCCACATGCTTGCCCTGCCAGGGAATTAAAGCTTCAGGCTGCCATTTGTGTGGAGTTTTTAAATATGTATGACCCAAACAAGGGACCTATTGCAAACAGCTCTAATCCTCTGGTAGATGAAATCTGTTGTTATAGTCTTTTCTCTTTCTGATGTTTCTGTGCTTTTAGATATGCTAAACAAACCTTTGAAGTAACTTTAATTTCTTCTTGTGTAAAATATACTTTAATGGATAAACCTTGCAGCTCGGAGTTAGGAGCTGCTGGTTCAAGCTGGCCATGCTGAGTGATTCATCAGCCATTGCCTCAGTTTCCCCATTTGTGGTGCAGAAACAGAAACATTCACCTTACCACCTTCAGCTCTTTGAGTTATCTCTGGATAATTTAGAAAGCCTAACTCCTCAAGGCCTTTACAGTCCGGAGTGAAGCCTTCCTGGAACATACCTGTCTAGGAAAGGAGCAGAGACTTCCTGTTTCTGATCAGGAGTTCCCAGACTGAAATATGTGTGCTTGATGAGGGGATGCAACCAGCTGCATGTGTGCGGTGAGCCCTGGCATCTTCAGTGTGCCAAGTTGGTTGCAATCGTGTAGCCACGTTTAGCAAGATACACCACCGTAAGATGTGTGTAGTATGTTTGGGAACGAGATTTTATGTGCAAGACCTTTAGTAGTAACTCACACGTGCCCAAAAAATGGCTTTCTGATGTATTGCCTGGGGTCTGTATGCTAGTGCTCTTTGTATGTGTCCTAGGGATTTCTGATCCAGGGGCATCCATATATCTCAGACCAATGCCAAGTGAGTTTTCAAGCAAGGAAAGACAACATGTTAAAGGAAACTTGCATGCATAGTAGCCCCAGTTAGAAGTATATTAAAAATAACAGGGAAAAAAATCTTGTTCTCTGTTATTATTTGACAGCCTCTAGACAGAAACAATAGAGTGGACATTGGTAGGACATGAGTAAATGCTTTCGTATCATAGTCATCTAATACACAGCATAGCATATTAAGGTGTTTAGCACTCAGCACAGTTGTCATGGTGAGTGAGGACAGTATGTGTAAAGCCTTATTTCCAAGAACACGTGCATGTTCCTTAGAGTAATGGCAAGCAGACTGTTAGCTGCAAAGACTAAGGACTGCAACTTGAGTGAGAAACTTGTTCAGCCCAAAACTCTTGTGTGTTTTTGTGCGTTTCTTTTTTTAATGTAAGAACCTCACAAAGACTGAGCTTCCCTGTCCTCTCTCTTGAATTAAAAGCGGGTAGGTTTTTGTGTGCCATAAGAACCTGTGAAACTATGGAGAATCAGAAGGAAGACAGAGTTTAAGGGCTGCATATCACATGAGGCAGCCCTTCCCCAGCTGTGCCAGGAACCCAGGGGGGATATCCTGCAGATTGATGGTAATCCTTGTGATGGTGTAAATGTTTAGAGAGGGCAAGGAGTGAGATTCCAGCTGTTTGGAAGAAAAAGGAACATGCTTTGCACAAAGGTGAAGCAGACTGGCTGTAGCTTCCTTTAGTAAAAACTGGTTACCAAGATGCATTCAATTTTGGCATCTCTTGAAAAAAAATACCTGAAAGGTTTTATCTATGCAGAAGGTAGTGGTTCTCTGCCCAGGTAGCGTATGGTCCTGTAGCTTGGCAGGAGTATTGAATTTTGTTCTAGTAAGGATGCTAGGAGCCAGTTACAGCCCTTTGAAAGTACAAGTAACCTGCCACAAAACTCTCCAAGAGAGACCATTATGTTTGTAAAGCAATCTAAAGAGCCAAGGAGGTTTTTCCCTGCTCTTGTGATATTTGAGCTTTAGATATACCATTTTTAACACTGGCCTTTTAAAAGTGACATTTTCAAACTGTTTCTGCCATTTTTTAGATCTGTGAGAAAGGCAGAAAAGTTTGGGAAGGGGAGCAGATGAAAAAGGGGGAGGACTGAAGAGCAGGTTGTTGTCTCTGCAAAAAGTGACATTGTCCATGAGAGCCAAAGTCTTCCGTTGCTGCGACCGTAGACGGCATTTAGTCTGCAATTCCCTTTTGCCCTGAGATAGCAAGCAAAATAGAAACAGCAACACAGGATAAATCACTGCTGGCAGAACTTAACAGTTATGCAACATCCAGTATATCATGCACTTATTTTTAGCTCAGTTTTACACTAGCAGAATTTACTTTATGAAATTTATAGAGAATGTTGTCTGGTCAGACATGTTGCTGGAGGATAAAGAGGAAGCGTAGAAAACGCATGTGTGTAAACTTAGTCTTTATAGAGAGGCAATTGCAAATTGCCTGGCAATACTGGCATTGGCAACATTGGCAATACTGGCAGTGTATTTTTTCAGTAGTATTTCCTTTAATTTCCAATCTGTGGTTGCTTTTAAAGTAGCTAACTATCCTCACTTGAACCAAATAGCTCAGTATGCTCAGCTCACTTCAAGCTTGGCTTCTCCCTCATTTACAGGGTGCTTTGAATTTACCAGCCCTGGCATGCAGTATACAGCAGTTTACTTCATTAGAGGACTGGCTGGTCAGATGTACAGAAATCGTTTCAATCAGAGTACTCTGGAAAGGCAGCTGAGCTACAGAGATATTCCTTATCCTCTATAAGATGCACTAAATTTAATGAACTTCTGATAATTATTTTGGGGTATTTTTCATGCGTGTTTTCCATTAGGACTGTGTATGCTGCTTGCTCCAAATCAGAGTTCACACTGGATTTTTTTTCAGTGTTCACAGGAATATATACTAAGTTGTATTGGACTAAGTAAAGGTAATTTCAGCTGGCAGTACAGGGATGAATGTTTGGAAAATTGTAATAGAAGATTAGGCTCACATACTCCGTTCTTTTTCCAAGACCAGACGTGCATCTTTTCTCCTTCCAATTCAACTTTATTCTCTTACTCATTGTGTTGTAGTTCTGCTTTAGCTTGTATAAATGAATATCATTTTATTTCTAAAAAGTTTTGCTTACATTCAGAACAGGTAATGATAGGGAAATATTTGACTTCTCAGCCTTTTGGATTTCAGAAGAGAAAGTAGACTCTACTTAGCTAACATACCTTTGAGATTTGCCACAGTTCTCAGTCATGTCTTGAAGCTAATGGGTGTTTCTGACCGTTCGTCATCTGTATTTATGATCTTCTCAAAAATATTTATTCCAGGTAACAATCTCGATGCTATCCATGACATAACTGTGGCATACCCCCAGAACATTCCTCAGACAGAGAAGCACCTTTTGAATGGAAACTTCCCCAAGGAGATTCACTTTCACGTCCAGAGGTACCCAATAGAGACGGTGCCCACTGCTAAGGAGGAGCTGCAGCTTTGGTGCCAGAAGCGTTGGGAAGAGAAGGAGGAGAGACTCCGGCAGTTCTACGAAGGTGCAAGGTGCTTCGATGCGACGGGGCGAAGCGTTATCCCACCGTGCAAATCTGAGCTCAGGGTCCTAGTGGTTAAGTGCGCCTCGCTCCTCTACTGGACAGTGTTCACACTGGGTATGTTCGTGCTACTGTACACGTGCAGCTTCGCACGGTGGTATTTTGTGGCCGTGATTGTCTTTTTTGTTGTCCAGCAAAAAATATTTGGTGGGCTGGAACTAATTGAACTTGCTTGTCATCAGTATTTTAAAGGGCAAGAGCAGATATGTGACACAAAAGTGAAAAGCACTTAGTTCTTGGGTAAAGAAAGGGTAAGAATGGATGTTTTTGAGACATACTGCAGACTTTGTAAATGGGGAAGAATTTTTGCATGAGAATTGTCTTTTCTTACTATCGACATTATTTGTTAGACATTTGCACTTAATTCTGTGAAAGGAAAGGAAAAACATTAGTTACTGCTACACATGAAAATGATAGTTTTTATCTCTGAATGTAATTTCAACATTGCTCTTGCAAGCAGCTAGTAACCTGCATTCTGCTGTAATTATCAAACAAACTGCTGGATTATTGAACAATCATAAGGATGTTAATAAATGTGATATGTGCTGAACTTTAATGTAAAAATCCAAACTGTCCAGCTATGAGAGACAGATACAGGATTTCTGTATAATCACATTGTCATAAAGTGAGCACCAGACTGAAAAAGCTAGGAAATTTAATGATGGTTTGATGATAGCTGTTAAGTTTCTTTTTTTGCTATGTCAAATGTTGGAAACGTAATTTAAAATACTTTCTCATAAGCTTTCCCAAACACTACTGAGCTTATTATTATTCAATCTGTTTTGGCTCAGTAAATCAGAATTTAGAAGAATTTATAAGCCCTGCTGTCTTGTGCTGTAGTACAGAAAACTGTGCTGGCTCTGCCTCTGTTTAAGTCTTATCTGAGTATTACTAGACCTGTGCAGCTGGATTGATTTCTCACTGTTTTGTATTGTCCTGGTCTTCCTGTTAGTTTTGGAAGATGTGTTCCTACTATAGTATTTAGAGTGGGGTGAGGGGGAGGACTGTCTTTTGTTTTAGTAGTATGTTTTTTTTTTTTTTTTTCTGATAGAAGCAAAAATAGATGTCTAAATGTGTATGACTAGCTGGCAAATGTATTTTAAAGGGTCATCTTGTAGACATTATTTGTGTGAAAATGTTTTTTAATTTGTCAAAGATGGCAAGGTACTTTTTATTTGAAGCATTTATTTTCATTTTCAAAATGCTTCCTTAGACATTTCAGGTGCCCATTTTGTAAGTACAAAAACCGCTTTCTCTGAGTGTCAGCCAGACCTGTTGAAAAGCATCTCATGCAAAGGTTGTCTCCGCATAGGTACGAGAAGAAATGTGTTTCAGACTAGCACAGCACAGGCAAATTGAGTTACCTCTTCCCTTCGCAATGTTCTCTGTGACCGACTGATTGCGTCCTTTCTTTTCCACACCCTCTTGCAATTTGTTTTCCCTTTTGGACTCCTCCTAAATCACTTTCCCTTCTTTTCATGACATGCAGAAAGTCTGAGGTTTCAGTTCTGACAAGACGCCTGGCAGTCGTGTTCCCTATCATGCGTAATGCAAATAATGCTCGCGGTCACATAGTAAATGGGATAAACATTGCCAGCTCTTAGGGGATGCTTCAGTTTCGATTTGTTGTTCAGTCTCAGACAACGTCAGACTGCTTGGTTGACTGTATTGCCACAGAGCTTCCCTGAAGTTGCTGAATCTGTGGTTATTGCATGAGGCTTGTTTGAGCTCGCTCACGGGGGCCCAACTCGGGGTGCATTGCGGTGAAACGTGAGTGTGCGGAGGGCGGCCCCTGTACCCGGGGCCATGCTGCAGCTCCCAGGTACCATCCCAGCATTGAGGCACCTCTGCTTTCTTCTGAGTTAGGACACTAAGCATGTCATTTGATACGTCTGGATTAAAGGCCATTTTTGGAAGGAATCACCAGCCTATTATTTACCTGTCCCTTGTAAGGTGACAGCTATTTTTTAATCTATGCGTATAATATATAATTGTTTCTTATTCAGAAAGTACTTGAAGCCATCTGTTTTACTCTATTTTTTTAATTCCCTTTTTTCTTAAAGATGAATAAAAATAGGTTTATATTTTGGATTATGTTTCATAACAATGTTTTTCATGTTTGTATTTGAGTTCCTAAAGACTGATAACTGGTGTTTTGTTGTCATGAGTGGAGGGAGGTTCTTTCTGCACTAGGATGGCTTTTTTAAACCTAGTTCCAGTGATAGGAAAGGCCTGGTTGCAGCTTACATGTACATAGCATGGGTTTTCTTAGCATGATACTTTGCTTTGATTCAGTTTCCTGCACTTATCAGGTAACTCTTATAGCAAGGGGAAAAATTCAAGAAAGTGCCCTAAAAGGCTTCTCATCTGTCCGAAGTCATGGTTGTGCTTTCAGACCAGGAGTAACCATGGCCACCCTACACGTGTAGCCTTAAAGCAGTCTTGAGAAGTGCAGAGGACAGCTTGTACATCGGTTACATAAATACCAGCTCTACTTTTTTCAGTCCTTAGAAGAACTTTGTGATATCAAAAAAAAAAAAAAAATCAGGAACATCAGTGTGAGTCTTGGTCATGAAGTAATGGAAGATTTCTAATATGTTTTACATCTGTGTTTTATTAGAGTTGGCTCTTAACATGAAATAAAATACAGCCAATAATTGACCCTTACAAAGGGTTTTCTATCCAGCTGGAGCCAAACATGTAACATAGTGTAATGTGGTAAACATTCTGCAAATTTGTAATTCTTCCTCTTCTCTCATATGTTTAGACAGAACAGAAATAATACTCTTGTCAGCTGTAAATGTTACATTTACACTGACTCCATAATGCAGGGTAGCACATGTTAAATGAAGAATCCTCTCACAAGGAAGGGTGTTGACTTTCGAGACAGATGTAATTTTTCAGATTATGGGCATCACTTTGCAGCTCGATTAGAAATGCTAAACAGAAAAATATCTGAATTCAAAGGAAAAAAAGTGAATATGGAAGCTGTTTTGTTTAAAAAGTGATTAAGGAGCTAGAACAAAATCTTTTTGTGATTTCCTCCCCCCCTCTTTGGTCAAAGTGTAACTTTTTATTCAAAAGATTCTAATACACAGATTTTTGGGAGACTATCTTGTTCTCATTTATCCTGTTTCCTTATTCAAACTACACTAAGATATGTCAGGTAAATCACTTCAAAATGCTGTTAGATTAAAGGTGCTTGTACTCCAGGAATCAAACGCAGTGATCCTTCCTGGAGAACATTTTGACACCAAGACATGTCTCGCTTCGTTAGGACATCTTCTCAAAGCCCATGCTCTCTTGTAGTCCTAGTAGTTATGAATGTTTAGTAGTAGTGGTAATACTTGCTCTACTGGACCTACACGTTGGTTAAGTTAGCTGATGCTATTGGAGATAAATGGCATATTTTTCTTGCCTTTAAGTATACTGTTCATTTGCTCAATCAAATGTTTCCTTATCACAATCATGGGTTGCTTTGCTCAGAACAGAAGGCTGAAATCCCATCATCAGTGTTTGTCCTAAAAGAGCATGGGTTTGGGGAACAGAACATCAGACCGAGACATTTCTCTCTTGTGTTGAGAACTGCAGGGCCCCAGGCCGGTTATAAGGTGTTGTGCTGATCATACTACATGTAGTCCCTCGTTCTGTGCATTACATCATCTCAGATATTTGAACAAGATCCCTGTTTTTATAACTTGATTTTATATGTACGTTGTACGAAAAGAAACACCAGGATACAACAAATCTATGAAATAGCCTTAGTTTTCAAAGTTCTCTGATTATGTTAGAATGTTTTAACCATGTATCAATTACCCTACAGCAACAATAAAGACCTGATGCATAAAGACCTGTGCTTCATTTTACTGTTTTCTTTTTATTGTGTGAAATACTCTGCATCCGTCCACAAGAAACAAACCTTTTCTTCAGTCATCCTGACTTACTCGAACAGGTTGGTGTCCGTTCAGGCACTCAATGGAAAGTATGTGGTTGTTGGAATGATATCTTCATGTTCTGCTCAGAAGAAGTTGGAAAGAGGTGGTTGTCTACAACCTCTCTTCTGGCCTATTTTTGTAAAGAGATGCAGAAACCTTTGAGCACACAAGAAATACAGTTCAATTTCAGTTCTGCTTTGCTTTTTGGCAGCTATTTCTTGAGAATAAGCTGTCCCCTGAAAGAGCATGTTAAGTATTGATTCCATTTCAGACATGTCCTCTTCCCACCAGAGTAATTACTGACACAAAAATGGTCTTTGGCAAGGTTCACTTTCTTAAAGGACCCATTTTTAGGGTAACTTCAATTTATAGGCTCATTGATTTATCTATCCAGTGCCTGAAAACTAATTCAGCATGGGAAGAGTAAGAGCTGGGTCTCTCAGGAGATGGTGTGGTCCTCATTACGTGACAGGTACAATCCTTGCAGTAACTGCTGCGCACCTTAGCAACCATTGCAAAACACCCGCTTACCTGGAAAGATAACGAGAGAGAGATCCTGCTAGCTATTCTTCCAGTGGGAGGTGATATTCGGGATTTCTCTGTATGCTCGGAGCATCCGAATTGATCTCCAGAAGTCAAAATGAGCCCTACTCTGTGGGCTTCTTCCTTTGCAAAGACTGTTGGTTGTCATTTCCTTTGGTTCCTTTGGCTCAAATATGCACAGTTTGTGCCTTCTACTTGTCCCAAAATACTCCTGCTCAGTGATGAACAGGCCAAAGGTCTAGTCTTACTTCCCTAGACCTTTGACTGCCACAGACCTTTGTCTAGGCCAGAGATTATTTCTAGAAGAGGGAGCGTGGTCTATGCTTATAACATAAGTTCGCCTTGCAGCTTGAGCTAGTAAGTGACTAGCGAAGACAGAGAGGAATGGTTGTTGTCTAATAATGTGTTACGTTGTTTATGTGTGTAGGCCTGTGTGTGCTGCCTCAGGGGAGCAGGAAGGCTGGCGACGCTCAGTGATCCTTCCCCTGCTCGTGTTTCGGTGACTGTGGTAAGAGCTACGGAGCGGGAGGTAGGGGAATGTGCAGAACTGGGAGGAAAACGTCTGAGCTGGTTGGAGAGAGGTGCTTGGTGAGGCAAGTGTGTTGGATCCAGTCTGTGGCTGGAGCTTATCTGGGTTAGGAGCCTGCCATCCACCTTAGAAGACTGGAGAGAAGGGCCTAAATGAAGCAACTCACCTCTTTAAAAGTCTTCTAAAGGACGTGGAGAGTTAAAGGAAATCCTCTATTGGCTCACTTATAGTAGGGCCTGATCCTGAGCTGCAGGACCTGTTCCAGGAGGAGTCTTTTTATGTTCTTACCTAAGGCAACCCAGCTAATGCTGGTGCTGCCTGCAAGTGCCTGTGCTTAGGCAAGGTGATGCAGCCTTTCTTTCCATGCTCAGGTTCCTCATTGTACAAATGTGGGTTTCTAGGCATGTAAAGAGCTTCTGCTCCTTGTTCCTGGAACGCTGCGAGGCTTTGCCTCCTTTAAGGATAAAGTAATCTGGTGCTGTCAGTAAGCTTCATTTAAGCAGGCTGGGCAGATGCCTGGCTTTCAGGGGAAACTTGTAAATCCCTGCAAAATCCCTTACACCCCAGTGCTGCCTCAGCCCAACAGCCAATGAATTGCATGGCAGAAGGGTGCTTCCCCTCTCCATGCCACCTCCATGGTAATGAGATAAATCCTTATCCCCTTCCTAGCTACTATGTTCATGTTATCTGGTAGTCTCTCCTACTGGAAGGATTTAACTGG